CCTTTTTTTATACGCAATGCGGATAAAGAACAATTCTTGCTGTAGTTCTGTGTGTACAGGGAGGGATGAAATTAATACAGCAGAATATTATGGGAAAGGTAAGTGCAAGAGAAGACTGAAGGACTCAAATACCTAATAAAACCTCAGGAGGATGGGCCTTCATCTGGTGAAATTCAGTGTAAATCCTTATAAAATGTTTACCAGTTTTCCAGTAGATTTATATGGATTTACACTACAGAATGTCTGGACTAAGAATGATTAACAGATCGGAGGGAGAAGGCTCACCTTATGTGCTTGGGATGTTTTCCAGATGCTTAACAGGAGCTGATAAATGCTTGTCTGCTTTAGGAGGCAAAACAATGACAACAAAGACTTCACCCCAAAAATAATCAGATTGATCTAATGACATAAAGGTTATTCTCCTTCAGCTAGTAAAAAGGCATGGGAAACATAGAACGATAGACCACAACATGAGACAATGGCAGTGAGATGAGCCACTCCTATAGGGCATGAACATATAGGTTAACCAAAATTGGTGTAAAGTTTGTAGCTGCAGGCCTTATCTAAATGCCTTCTTCCAGAAGAAAGAAAAATAAAATATAACGTGTGCTTTTGAATCCTAACTTACATTTTGGAGCATATTTAATAAGAAACTTGTGCAGAGACTAGTGTTAAATCTGGCCCAAAGAAACTGTCAGATTTAAGTGCTGTTAAATACTTTTTGTTGTAGACCTGGATTTATTCATCAAAATGAATCCTCGCAGTCATAAGGAAATATGATGATACTATAGAATAATTTGGTTAAATTAGCATATGAGACAGGAATACAGTGAATGTTCCAAAGTCTGTATCACAATATACAGGGGGTAACCTGTTTGCTGTCTTTTAAAAGGTGGACGTGAAAGACTGTTTGCACCAGAAGATATAGTGTGCAAGGTCTGTAGAAAATGATTACATAAAGATTGCACCTAATACAGTTTGTAACACAGTAATTCGTATACTAGCCTCCAGAATTGTGATGTGGTCTGTGTGTGCAGGAAACAGATGGGCATTTAAACACGCTTAGAAAATCATCTTAGAGAAGATGAGATTTCCCTGCACTGAATTAGATACCTAAGTCTGTGTAAGTCAGACTAAGCTTTGAAGACCATGGGGTGTAATGAATTACCATTTTATCCTGAGACAGAATCTGTACTAACACAAGTGAATCATTTTCTGCAAGTGCTAAGCTGACTGTGTCCATATAATTTTGCTATTTTCTTCTTTTTTTTTCTTAATGCTTTCTGTTATTATTTCTGAAGTGTAATGCATTAAATCCTTGCTGTTTTAGTGTATTTAATACCTTGAAAAGACAATGAAACAAGTTACTGAAGGTTATGCCACTTTTCTTTTCTTCAATGCATTATTCCAGAACTTCTAGAAAATCAAAATGTGATTTTATTCATATGGCTTCCAGAACTCTCAACAATTTCCTTTTTTTTTTTTTTTTTTTTTTTTTTTTTTTTTGAGAAAGAATCATAGAATCATAGAATGGTTTGGGTTGGAAGGAATCTTTAAGATCATCTAGTTCCAACTCCCCTGCTGTAGATAGGGACATCTCCATCTAGACCAGGTTGCTCAAAGCCCCATCCAGCCTGGCCTTGAAGAATGAATAGAACCTCACAATTTCATACCTCATGTGGTACTCCTGAGTCAGAATATCCTATAAGAGGATATGAATTTGGACTTTTTTTCTGGTAGATTTACCACATACATCACTTCTAATAACACTACATAACAAGCAAGATAACTTTTTAGTAAAAACAGATAAACACAAGGCAGATACCTCATTACATTTCTTATTGCTGCTCCATGAAACAACTTCCTTTTACTCTCAGATGAATGAAAACAGTCATAGGTAATGAGAATTGCAACTGAAAGATTAGATAAAAGAAAATCAGGTAAGTCAATCTGAATATAAATAAAGGCAATAGTTTATAGACAATACCTGTACACATGCAACTTTTTCTATTAACTCTGGCAAAATTAGCTTCATTTTTTGCTAGCTGGGATATTTCAGTAGAACTCACGAATCCCCAGTAGTCCAAATCAAATAGCAAAAAGTGGAAAATTCCACTAGAGAGGACTTCAAAGAGATTCAAATGAAAGATTTTGGAAGGTACATTTTTTCTAGTAATTGTACAAACAGAAATGATGAGCACAGTTGCCCTTGGTTGTAACTTGGTAGAAAGGATTCAGTCTCATCAGCAAATTAACACAGAATGGATCAGAATGCTTCACATCCTAGCTGGGTTAGGCTACATAAAATGCAGCACCATATGGGGTGCCAGAAGTTCTCTCCCTGTCCAGAACACACTTCTTACATGCTTCTCTGGGCTTTTCTTCTTCTGCCATAACCATCCTTCTCCCCTTTCAGAGGTGTCTTACTGATGCACCTAACTGTTCTATTAATTGCTATTTATTTATTTTTAAATATGGAAATTCTATGCTTTGACTGTGAGCTAGTACTGTTAAGAGAACTTGTATGGTATAGACTATCTTACTAAAACACTGCTACTGGAAGCCTTGCTAAATATCTTTTTTTTTTCAAATGATGAGCTTTCAAAAGCATTTAGAAAAGAAAATTGTGTGAAGTTGTGGCAGACATGGAGAAAATTTTTCCAAGATTTTGTGACTTAAAAGTTGAATAAAATACACCTAAACTGCCTGATTCCCTAATTAGTTGCAAGTGATTTCTTATTTTCTTTTGCATGGCTGCTTTAGTTTCCCTCACAATTTTTTTTTTTTTAAATACACCTTAATCCTTTATCACTTGGACCACACGGATAGTTCCTGAGTTTTGCAATACATTTATCAGACTTAATTCCAGAAATGCATGTTTGATAACAAAAAGTAAAATTTCTCAGACCTTGTTTACATACTATCCTTGAGTGAAATATTAAAATTTTGGGTATGTCAGGTACCTGTTAGGAGATGTTCAAATGCAGCCTTTGTGGACTGTTTTGTAGTGGGATATTTACTATTTAGAGGAATTTTGCTTAAGGCATATTCCATCCTTTCCAGGTTTTTTGATGACCTTATATAGCTATTTGATGTAAAAGGGATTAGGAGAAAGTATTGATGTGGTTAACTCCATTTGTCACATAGCAGCTGTAGACAGTTTTGCTCATCACCTTTCATTCCCTTATGGACTTCATGCTGCAAAAAAGAAATGAAAAAGATCTGGCAAGAAGTATTCTCTTGAAGATTTAAAAGGCCACAGTAATACAGGTTTCTGTTCTTGCTCCTTGGTCTGAATGACCTCAAAAGTGGGAAAAATACATCAAGACTAACATCTGTACTGTCTTAGAAGAAAATTCTGACACACAGATCTATAGGCATAATACATTCTTAGCAAAGCTTCTGTAAGTTAAAACTGGGTAATTGCATAATTCCTAGAGGAATCTGAATAGAGAATGTGAGAGATGTAACTTACAAACCCACTACATTCCTGAAGGGACAAATTATCATAAAAACCACAAAGATGCAAGCTTTCCTATACAAATTCGGCCTATCTGTACTATTGAAAAAGAGCAGAAGTGAGAAAAAAGGCACTGAAGTTTTGAATTAGGCCACTCTAAAACGTGTATGTTATCTGTGTCTGTGAATAGTGCAAATTTATCATGATAATCTACTGTTTGTCTGATGCAACTTATCTATTGCTTATTTGAATTAGTTTTTCAGCCAACCCAACTTTTCCCTGCCTTTCTTCTTAGCTTCTTACCTGCCCAATGTTGTCCTGTTGTATTTGTTGTTGTTTGTTTGTTTGTTTTATATTGATGCCTTATTTGGCTATGTGAATGTTACTTTCTGTTTGATTTGAACTTCTCTTTTGAATTTTCTGTCAAAATTTGCCAGTTTAATTCTAATCTGTTATGGGATGTATAGCAAATCTAAGACATTTTGGTATCCATAGTGTGGTGATATCCCCCATCTCTACTTCTCCATTCTTCCCTATATGTAGTTATATAAAGAACTCAAACCAGCCCAATTGTTACTGGGACAACAATCGCTTTTCTACTTTGTTTTAAACTGCTAATCTCCTTGTTTTCTAGAGAAGAGATACAGCATTGTGGGAACCTCAAACTCTGGACAAAAGCTTTATTTTAGTAAGGATCACTGAATACCTGGAGTATGATTTATAATGATCTTGTCTTTTCATTACGTATATATAATCACTGAATGCTTACTTGTCACTTGGGACAGGTAAGGCTGCCGCTTGCTTCCGGGAAGCAAAACACACACCAGGAAGTTATTCTGGCTAACATGCAATGCTTAAATCACCAGAGAGAGGTACTTTGGATGAATGGAAAATAACATTATAGCAATGAAAAATTGTGTGCATCAGTCAAAGCTCTAGGTCCAAAGCTCTAAGTTTTTCAGCTTGAAGGATAAGCAAGTGAGGACTGTCCTTAAGCAAAGAGCAGGCAGCTGCTGCCTCAGGCAGCTCAGTTACTGAAGACAGAGAATGACTGAGTCAGCTCTTTCTTGTAGAGACTGCTTCTTCCACATCATCTCTGGAGGAGGCAGCCCTGACCCGGGCATGTGAGTCCTGTCCTGTCTAATAGTTGACTGTGCTTTGAATTACCGCACAATTCTTTGGTCTTACTCTTCAGAGAATTGCCTTTTCCTGTAAGAAATCCAAAATACAAGGAAAGCTGTCAGTAGGACAAGAATGGAAAGTAATTGTTGCCAGTAGGATTTTCCAGCTTTCTTCTATGATCTCTTGATTTTATTGATCCTTCTATGTCATATAAGTCACTGTGTTTTTGCCAATGAATGAGCTGATAAGGAACAATAACTGCTTCACATGTGAGTTACAGGATAGGAGTACAGCTACAAAAAGACACAGAATCAGAGAAACACCAAGGTTGGAAAAGACCTACAAGGTCATCCAGTCCAACCATCCACCTACCACCAATAGTTCTCACTAAACCATATCCATATCCCTCAACACAAAAAAGTCCCTGTGATTCTCTGGATTCTGATCCTAGCTAGGAATGCTATTATCTTTTACTGATGTTATTGTCATTAATTTGAGATAGGTGTTTTACTGGGCTGAAGAAGAACAAACCGGATCTGGATCAACATTGGATGCACAGTTACAGTTCTGTTATCCTGACAAATAAGGCTGAAATTCACATGGTCACTACATGGAAAGAGAAGGTCTTGGTAGTTGGAGCTCGAAAGTGAATTTACTGTGTTGTGGAACCACAGCCTAAGCACTTTCTTTTGAGTTGAAAAGGACAATGAGAGAACACAGTATCTCTGAAGAAATTGGAATAAAACAGTAAGTTTTGTAGCCCCCAGAAAACCTCTGTTTCCCTTGAGTACTCTCATTTTTTACAACTGCATCCTGAAGCTTCCTAGTGTGAGCTGAATGTTTTATGTTTCACGTTGTACAGAATGGATGGGAAATGCATTGTTTTTGTCTTTTGGGTTTTAATTTCTCATGCATTCCTTTTGGGTGGCATAAGCAGCTCAGAACTGGCCATTCTGCTTTTTTCTTTTTTTTTTTTGTGCTTTTCCAGAAATCACTACAAAATGTTACTGATACACAAGAAAGGCCAAATTTCTGGGGAAAACAAATCACATCATTTTCTGCTCTTAGTATCTCTCATCACTTCCCTTCAACCTTTCTTTGCTAAGGCTATAAAATGGCTGCAGTGATATACTCCTGTGTGACAACAATGGAATGGGGACTAGCAGCACTGCAGGCCTCCCTGCTGATCTCTGAACTAGGTGAAGTTATGGCAGAGAATTGCCCTGTCAGAACTTTTTCTACTTTTTTTGCATTTATTTTCCTGGGTGGGCTCTGGATTTTCTTTCATTTTGCCCACTGTAGACAATCTTTTTGTCTAGATGTTTTCAACTCTTCATGAGAGTAGAGAAGTGTTTTCAGTGCATTTTTTTTCTAATGATTTTCTGACACCATCC